CCCCAAAACCCCAAAACCCCAAAACCCCACATAGTGTTAAAACACATTAAAAAGATCATAGAGCACATCTTCCTCCAACTTTACAACCTAAAACTAACTATCCCCCACCTTATCTAACCTCCCTCTCTATAAAATTCTACTAAACCCCCCTCTCCACTCAACCACTAATTCCCCTTACTAACCCCCTCTACTCTCCCTTCACTCCCAAATTCCCCCACCCCAAAACCCCAACCCCCCCTATTTCCCCCTATCCCCCTCTCTTCCTCCCCCAACCCTCCCCCTCCTCATCCCCCATTCCTCCTCCTTCGCCCAAATTCCCACCCACAACCCCCAAATTTCCCTCTGTTCTACTATAAGGCTAAGAGTTAGATATTTAAAAGAGAGATTTTTAAAGGAAATTTTGGAATTTTTTTGAAAATTGTGGGAAGAAGGAATGGGGTTAGGGGGAAGCTGGAATGGGGAGATTGTTGTTGATAGGGCTTAGAATGAGCCTTTGTAGTGTCCGGAATCGAATTCTACGTTTATGTGGATGAATCTTAGTTCAAGTGATTTAGCTTGTTCTGCTGGAAGTTTGGATTTTTCGAAGAATATCAGATTCAGATTTTCTGAGAATTTGCATTTATTAAGGTTCTCCAGAATTGTTTCAAAGTAGGAAAATGTTCTAATTTGCTCTGAAGGACTTATTTCATCCCACACCATTAACAGAGCTTGTAATGAGGAAGTCCTTGAGCAAGAGAACTTGAGCTTTGGCCCGATCACATTACTTTCTTTCAAATAAAATTCTTCCAGTCATGTTCCACTAAGAATGAAGTGGATGAACTGTTTTGAGGAAAGAGTGATCTTGCTAACTTTTAGTTGCTTGACAAATCGAATGTTATTAACTCAAGTTTGTATAGTATAAGTTAGTCTTCTTTGTACTATATTCTCATCAAGCTCAAGCTTCACTGTTGGTTTATTCTTACTGAATATCTGTAACATTTTAGAGAAATACTTTTTCCTTATGTTAGAAATAAGAATTGTAGAATATCTTGTTCTTCCCTTTTCTAAATTCTTCTCTCCAAGGCATAAATCTTTTATATAAAAAGTATTCTTAGGAGGTTTTATAAGAAAAAGATCTATAAAATATAATACCAGCATGCTTGAATTCACTTTTCTGATTACATAACCTCAGAATTTGTATTTCTTTCATATTGAGTTTTATTTCCTCTTGTGTTCATGTATCTCTTCTTTTCAATCCCCCTTTATTTGGTTCCATTAGTTTTAATTTATAATATTATATTAAAAGATCAATCCAATTACTAAATATCGGGGTTTTGGGGTTTTGGGGTTTTGGGGTTTTGGGG